TATGGTCACCTACAGCTGCAACGGTGTGATAGAGCACAGTGATAACGTTGCTATAGGAGCTTATTCAGCACTGTGGACGATTATGCCAATAGACAAATTTGGGAAAATGCTTCGAAAAGATTTGATAATGGTGATTAGGAGATCTAGACGAGTTTGTTGTCTGACCGCGAATGGATTTTTCCCTGTGTCATTAGAATCTTATACCAAAGTAGGTATAATCCTAATCTATGTACAAAATAGACATTTAAAAATGGTGGCAGTCAATTATATCAAAATTATAATCCTGATAGATTCATAAATTCAATATAAAATAAAATGATTTTTAAAATTTGTAAATTTAATGATATATTTATCACATTTTTGAATTCATAACTATTAATTTCTTGAAATTTTTATTGCAACTACATAATCCAAAATACTAGCAATTTATTATTATTAATGAAAAATTAATGGAAATTGCATAATATTTATACTATATTCTTTGTGATATAAAAATTTGAATTTAAAAAAATACTTTAAGATGTATTCGATTCTTAATTCTGTCTAAAATTATACAAAGCACAAATTTGAGAATCATTGTCATAGAATATTAATTTTGCAATCAATATAAGTGCAAAATTCAAAAAGTAAATTTTTTTTCTTGATGATGATTAAAATACTTATTTTTACATTTTTACAGATTTTAAGTACAGCTCTATCGTATTTCACATTGCTGAGTAATCGCGTGGAAACCGCAAATGACACGTAATTAATAACAACTTTTCAATAATATTCGTTAATATAAAATATCTCAGATCAATCATTGCACATTCAAATCCATTAGACAAAGAAATGTAACGAAGGTGTATAATTTTTTCGAAATAATGTAATGACATTGTATTATTAATCATTCATATTATAATTATAAATAAAATAATGAATAACCACTATTAAACTGGATTTGTACGCGAATACATTCTTTTTAAAATTATAAAAGATTAAATTTTCGATAATGCTTCAAACGTCCAAAAATTACAAAACAGAAAGAAAGATGAAAGATGCTGCAAAATCAATCCGAATCAATCGATTAAATAAAGATCCAATTAATTTCAATCATAAAACTTTTTAAATCAATATTTTTCCAGAAATAAACATATTTACTTATCTAATTATTAAACTTATTTATTTAATTAATACGTCAATTGATTAGGATTAATTTTTTATATAAAATACAAATATATCTAAATTATCAATTACAATAACTCTTACTCACAATTTTTTTTTACTCTTCTATCAAACAGAATTAAACAATCAAATTTACTCTTTCTATCTTCTTCCATCGATCTGCACAAACGATTCCAACCATTCCACCTTCCTTCTTAAAATCTAAAAAAAAGTCGAAACATTTCATCGACTGCACGCATAAATTCGAATCGATCCAAGAGTTCTATACACCCTACTATAATTCATAATACACGTTCTATCCTTAATAATACAATAGAAAGGGTGCCAATCATTTTTTTCCTGACTACTTCACTTGTAATATTCCCGTCGAGGAAAAGAAAAGAAGAAGGGATGAGAAGAAATCGACGAACTATCAAACGCCTATTAATTATTATCGTGATATATATTCGATGGAAGTTGCGTGTGAGACGATACACGTTGATCAATCACCATGCAAACGGATAACCAGTTGGACATATCGATAAGCTTGTCGACATTTTTCTTGAAGAACGTGGGCGTATGGATGTCTGATAATTCTGATGAACAACGCAGGATGAAAATGTTATTCATCTACACGATTTGGATGTTGTTTTGCGGCACGATAATCAGTACGAGAGATTTGTATTTCACGTTGCTGTACAACGGCGTGAGTATGTTCAATTGTTTCGTATCTTTTACACGGATAAAATTTAAGATTATTGCGTGATTTTTAAAAATTTAAAAACTGAAGGATTGGATCTGAACAATATATAATTGAAGTGTTTCTTTTTCTTGTGATTTTTAAAAGAGAAAAATTTTGTAAAAATTTATTAATTTTGATTAATAATAATGATTAATATTTTCTTTTAGAACAATTTGACAAGAATGGATATAAGAAAATATAATATTTGAATGGTTTATAACATATGATACTTGTGTTATTTCATAATTTTTGCTTTTTTTTTTTGTCATTATTATTCATTTTTTGAAAACGACTCGTTTCAGGATATTCTTTACGCTATGACGAATACCATAACTACGATAATGGCTTTAATCAAAATATGCATCATACTGATGTATAAAGGGAAATTTTTAAATCTAATCGTGTACATGCAACAAAATTTCTGGAACGTTAATTACGATTATCGTGAAAAAGAAATTTTGGACGATTGCAGAAAAACTTGCATTTTTTTCATCTCCTCCGTCACCACCATTGGCATGTGCACCGTGATGTCCTATCTAACGACACCGGTCATTAGTGGGTTTAAATAATTGATTAAAATTATCTAAAACACTATTTAAAACTCTTGCTCGACTGATTAAATTGTCAAAATGCACAATCTCTATCTCTATTTCATAAATTATTTCATAAACTTAACTAAAAAATTTGAATTGTATATACAATTTAATAAATTATCCTCATGAAATTTGAAATTTATTATGTATTACAAATTTCTATATTTGTTTTTTGGAATTTCGAAAAATATCCTATCCTATAGAAAAAAAAAAAGCAAAAAGTTTGCACATTTGTTACAGCACAAAATGGAAGTAATGAATCCGAGAGAATGTTTCCGTTCAATATATGGATAAATTTGCCGCTAACAAGGACGCCATATTACGAGATAATATTTTTTGTCCAAGTAATTTAAATTTACATTATATTATTCTTTTTTAATCGAATAAATTTCCAAAATAAATATTCTAAATTATATTAAATGGAGTTATAACTTTCTTTTATTAAATTTATCAAATTTCTTTTTTAATAAATGAATAATGAATATCCACTTTTGTTCAAAATGAAAATATAAATAACTTAAATAATAATATTCAATAAATATTTCTTCATTTTCATAACAAAGGAAAAGAAATACGTGTCGTTTTTCTTCTTTCTTTTTTTCTTTTTTTTTTTTTTTTTTTTCTTTTTTTTTTTTTTTCTTTTTTTTTTTTTTTCTTTTTTTTTTTTTTTTTTTTTTTTTTTTTTTACAGGCAGTATCGTTATATTATATTGGAATCTCCTATTTTTGTTTCGACAATATTTTCTGCATCATGGCCGTACACTTGGCCGGCCAATTTCGCATTCTTCGATACAGGCTTATGACATTGTGTGACACGGAGCACGATATACGCGAAAAGGACTCGCAATCGACATTAGCAAAACAGATGTACAAATTTTACGAGCAATTTAAGAAATGCGTCCGATATCATCAGGCATTGATCGATTACCATCAAAACCTTGAGAACGTGTACACTATAATTACGCTTGGACAAGTGTTGGTATTCAGTGTATTAATTTGCCTATTCGGATATCAAGTGTTCGTGGTTAGTTAATTTATTTTTATCAAATATTTCATAATTCCTTAAAATAATTAGAATAGAAGGAATCCAAAATAATTATATAATATATTGTAAAATGTAAAATTTAAAGCATTATTGTAGCATTTATATTTCGTTTTATATAAATATAAAACTTTATATAAAGAACAATTGATAATTTAAAATCTAACTAATTTGAATTTAAATTAAAGAACTCATTTTGAACAAAAGAGAAGGAAATATTATATTCGTAATGTTGTGTAACTATTAATCATATATAATTAATAATTATTTAATAAATGTTTCAAATGAATCCTTGAATTATACTTGCACAATTTAAATATATTTTACATCCTATATATAGATGAAAATATATTTTTTTCTTTTCTTCTCTTCTAGGCTGCTGCTTCTACAGCGAGACGCTTCATTTTCGTATTCCTGTTAAGTGGCTCGATGTTTTTATTATTCATGTTTACCTACAGCTGCAACGATGTGATGGAACACAGTGATAATGTCGCTGTAGGAGCTTACTCAGCACTGTGGACAATTTTGCCGATGAATAAATTTGGAAAAATGCTTCGAAACGATTTGATAATGGTGATTAAGCGATCCAGACGAGTTTGTTGTCTGACTGCGAATGGATTTTTCCCTGTATCGTTGGAAACTTATACCAAGGTAGGTATAATCATAACTTACTATTTTTGTATCATAAAAATCGAAAATGAATTCACCATAAATACATTAAAAACAATGATTTTTAAATTAGAATATTTTTCATAGTAAAAATTTTTTTTTTTTTGAATTGTATTAATTTTTTGGAATATTTATTGTGATTATATGATACAAAATGGATAATATATTTGTGCTATATTTTTCGTAATGATATTGAACAAAAATTTAAATTTGAAAAAAAAATATTTAAAGATGTTGGTTATTAATCCTTATTAAAGCAAAATTGTAGTTTAAGAAGTGCAATTGTAGTTTAAAAATCATTATAATCATGAAACATTGTAGTAGTAAATTTTTTCGTTTAAATTATTCATTTATATTTTACAGATTTTGAGCACAGCGGTATCGTATTTCACATTGCTGAATAATCGCGTGGAAAACGCGAATGACTCATAAATTATCAAAAACTCGTTAACAAAATATCTCGAATCGAACGTTGTACATTTTCCATTAAAAAAAAAAAAGAATAAAGTAAAGGTGGATAATTTATATGAAATAATGGATAACATTGTTATATTGGTCATTTTAATAAATAATCATTATTGAATCGTATGTGTATTTCTATGTAAATACATATTTTTTTATATATATATAAAAAATATAAATACAAAATATTGGAACGTTCAAAATTAGTGAAATGAATAAAGATGAATTTTTTATTTCGATCAAAGAGTATATTTTAAATCAATATTCCTCCAAAAATAAATATTTTATTTAATTATAGATTTAAATAATTCTATTTAATATTATTTAAACAAAAATAAATAATATTTTTATACAAATTGCAAATATACAATTACAATTCTTACTCACAAATGCAATAAGAAATAATTGAATTTTTACCTTTCTATCTTCTTTCACTTTGCAACAGAACAAAACAAAATATATTAATTTTTTATTTAATTGCCAAATTTAAGCTACATTTAATCAATATTTGATAAATTATAGATTCCCTCAATGATTATAGCAAACGATGAAATTTAAAAAACATTTAAATAATAAATAATAATTTAAATAATGATCCATTGATATATAACTTTGTTCCAAGTTTATAAATAAGGTGATGCATAATGTAAAACGTACCTCAAAATAATCATGATAAGTTACTGAAATATTTCCAAATTACTTTAACTTCCTATTAAAACACTTTAAATACATAAGACAGATAAATATCCAAAGTGCAAATACGGATTACTTGCCTTGATCTGGTCAACCTAGAACGAGGTAGGGAACAAAATAACGAGTAGAATATACTTCTCTAACTGCACCTATTCATCGAACCACTATGCGTGATAAAATAATCAACACGTGTCGAACAACTGGTTGTGCATTCCCAGGAGGAGAAAGATAATCGTGTTTTCCTTCAAACATATGTTATAAGATATCGATAAAAAGGATTGTATTTATTTCCATCATTGGAATGGAGAAAAGAGTATACATCAAAGTGATGTCACTCATTTCGCAAAAAGCGAAATTTTCATTGAATCTATTAATTTTCCCGTGATTTATAGATCGACAATGAAAAGATTGTCATGAAACGAAACTTCTCAGATATCTCTCTCAAATTGTCACAATTTTTATTGAAAGCTGTGGGTAGTTGGATAACGGTCAACAAAGCAGAAGAACGTCAAAGAAGAATCAATATGTTGTACACTGTCGCCTCGCATATATATGCTTTGTATATTAATATCACCGATATTTATCACAGTTGGGGGGATTTTAACGTAAGTACGAAATTATTTTCCAAAAATTGTTACATCTCTCTATTTTATGTAATATATAAAAAGATATTATACTATATATGGATCACAGAATTTTAAGTTAACAACGATGAAGTACGTTGTTTTGATATTAATGGTTTTTTTAGTCGTCAAAGTGAAGAAAAATTGAAAACGATGCAAAATTAATTTTTAAATTAGTTTTAGAGAAAGATTGTTGATCGATTTTTTTTCCAAAAGAATAGAAATTTTTTCAAAAATATCTGAAAATTTTTCTATCTGAAAAATTATAATATGGAATATTCGATGGATATCAAAAATGTTATGAATAATTATTAAGAAAATTCGTATCAAAAATATCAAAATTAAATTATTAATATGTAATTACGTAATATTTTAATTCTTATTATTATATATATTATTATATATATTTAAGAAATATGTATATTGCATAAATATTAATCAAATTTTGAATTTATTTTTGCAGTATTGTATGTTCATAATATCTAACTTACTAATAGTCATACTATCGCTTTCTAAATTTATAATATTAAGCTTTCGCAGAAGAGAATTTGTGAAAATAATAATATATGCTCAGAAGAATTTTTGGCATTTCAAATATGAAAATTACGAAAAATTACTTTTCACGAAGTGTCAAAAGTTTTGCAACTTGTGGACCATAATCGCATACTTCTTTGTACAAAGCTCTATTTTTTTCTATATAATTACACCATTTTACGGTGAGTAAATCACTGAGCAAAAACTCTAAGCATTTTGATAATCTTTATAAGAAATTTTTTTATCAATTAAAATAACTTTATATATAATTAATAAACCTTGAATCAATTCCGTTGCAGTTTTAATGCACAAATTTCAGAAATCTTTCTGAATATCGTAAGATTTTAACATTAAAAAAATATAAATCAATATCAATTTTAAAAGAAACAATGTTACAGAAATGAATGTTTTTTTAGTGAATCATGGAAAGAACAAATCAGAAAGAACACTTCCGGTCAGAATGTGGATCGATATACCGTTAAGCACAACACCATATTACGAATTATTGTTCGCCTCGCAGGTACTATACATCTTTATTTATATGATGCGAAATGCGACAACATCCATTTATATTTGGAAATGATTAACACATAATTAGATTTCTAGAACAGTGATTCTCTTATCTGTATACGAAATACAGAATTAGATAATGGATAATTTACACTCTAAAAAATTTTTTCAAATTTCAAAAAAACAATCCTAACAACCCTATATATATCTTAAATTAAATATAGAATATCGAAATCTAATTTCTAAATTCGTGAAATTCGAATACGAAACATTGTAAGATCTTAAAACTCTTAAAAAAAAAATTTAAATTTAAAATTCAAACAAATTCAATTGGACTATTATTACTTAAAAATAAATTCATATTATATTTATCTAAATTATTTTTTACATAGGACTTTAAGAATTCCAAATAATAAATAGCAAAAAATTTCTCGAGAATTCGAAACATCAAATATATTCTTTTATTTTAAATTCTTATATTGTGATAATAATATTGATTCGATAATAAGAAAGAAACATTGGTACCAAAACTTAATTAATTTTCAAAATTCGAGGCAATTAAAAAAAATTGAAACCGATTAGTCTCAATAAGTACAGTATTTTTATTACATCAAAATTTCAAATTGATCAAAAAATTCAAAAAGTAAAATGAGATATGGATTATCTTATAATTCACAAAAGTTACAAATGTTGTTAGATGATGGACAGATAATAAGACTGTAAGGACCACAGGAATATAGAAAAGGAGACACTATAAACTAACAATTATACACTATAAACAACACTTTACTTTTACGGATGACATCCCTTATTTGGATTAATAGTTATACCTAATAGCGATAAATAATACTAGCGAGAAACAGGAACCGTCTAGCGGCGTGATCGGTATTACCAGTCAATATTCAGATCGTGATTGAATCATGATTATGCCTAGCGATAACTGTATTTAATTGTATTAATTATAACTGTAATTATTATTGATCAATATCGATATTATAATCAATATATATATATAACTTAATTACGAATTTTAAGAGAGAAACATTTAAGAATTACTCTTGAAAATAATTTTCAATGCAATTTTTGTCCTTAAATAAATTGTTGCCAATAGAAATTTCCAATTTGTATTCGTGTAATGTGAGAACTGCTGTTCTAGGATCGTTGTGAATCCAGTTAATATAAGAGGATTTTGACGATTTTCTATCGATGATCTAATGGAAAATTATTAATTCGTACAGTTAATAGCTCTACAACAAATCGGCCTGACTTATTTGAGTAACGATAACTACTTATGCGTATTGAGCATGCATGTGAATTACCAGTTCCGCATATTGCAACATCGAATGCTCACCATATGGTCAAGCATGAAGGAACAGAAGGATATCATCTCTTGCACGGACAAATATTACAAAGCTTTAAAGAAATGCATTAAACAACATCAGTCGTTGCTCAAATATTGCGAGAAACTCGATTATGTTTACACGTTGATGATTTTGAATCACGTGATTGTGTTTAGCTTGATAATGTGCATCGCCTTCTACGAAATACTTATAGTACGTGTAATTTCTCTTTACAAAAAATGTATATACACATTTCAATGAATTTTCTTATTTAATAATAATCTCATGAACGATCCAATTAACAAAATTTCAACAAGAATTTCCAAATATTAATTTGTAAGATTCAATTGTTACGTTTATAATAAATTTTAAATGTATAAAATATCTAGATAACATACAAAAAAAATACAAAATAAATATGGTATTTGAAAGATAAAACAAATCTATTTAATAATAATAAATAAATTATTCTCAATCGATATTTTTGCGTATCAACTTTTCTGTATGTTTTCTAGAATCAAGTTTTTTAAAAGTATCTGTATATTTTATAATAAAAATATAAAGATCGCAAAATATATTTCAATTGTATTAAATTTTTGTATTAAAAATAATGTATACAGGCAGACGTACCTCTAACGACGCGCTTCATTTTCATTTTCTCCGGGATTGGTATCTTTGTTCACATCCTTTTTTTCACGTATATTTGTGACAAATTGATAGAAGAAAGTGGAAACGTCGGGTTGGCGATGTATTCAGGCTGGTGGACGACATTGCCAATGAACGAGACTGGAAGAATGCTGCGAAAAGATATAAGGATGATAATGATGAAGTGCATGCGGCCATGTTATCTCTCCGCTGGAGGATTTTTTCCTGTTTCCTTGGAAACGTCTACTAGTGTAAGCAATCTCCCATTTATTAAACGATAAGAAATAACACTCTGACATATTGTTAATCAAATAATAACAATAATAAATAAATTTTCAAACAATGAATATTTTACTATGTAGAAATTTTTTAGAAAAAAGATTGTTATTAATCATGCTAAAATTTTTGTTGCAGCTTATAAGCTCTACCGTGTCGTATTTCACTCTCTTGAGGGAATCCATGAAATAAGATAATTTACACAGATTGTTCAATCTTTGTGTTCAAGTAATTAAAGAAAAAAAAATTAATTTCCAATTTTTACATACATCTGTAAAATTAATCAATTAATAATAAGTATATATCAGTATAATATTTTTAATCAATATTAATACACAATGCACATAAATGCACTTTATCTAACGAACAATGTACAAAAGTTTTCTCTAATCTGAAGGATTAAAGATAAATTTTTAACACAATTAAAAAAGATAATTGTACAATTCTAATTTTGTCGTTCCACTCTATTGTAGTATTCCACTATAAAAATCTATATAAAAAAATCACTTGAACAAATCTCCAAAAATAAATCTTGATTATAATCACCATAATCTTACCATTATTCTATGATTCTATACCACTTCTACTCTGCACAAGCATAAGCGCTTAATCAACCAAGGTAGACGCAATACTATATCTACCCCTCGCATCAATCCCACCTTCTCTCCCCCCATTATCATGCCAATTGTGTTCCATTCCCTCGTCGAATCATGAATAATTTACCCCCGTTACGACTACGTTTCACGCGAGATTACGTAAAGATCCTTTAAAAAGGATCGTAAGCAATGCAACGATCGTGATTGGCATTTTCAAAAAGATTGACAAATCAAAGCGTGTGACGAGGATCAAAGGCGTCATCGTGATCTAAGCGTGAACTTATTATTCGCATTGAAGTAAAAGTCATTCCTTTTCCTCGGCCATGCGATCGACTCAAGGCAGAGACATCTCGATAATTTGGACGAGTTTTCTGATGAAAATAGTTGGATTGTGGTTGGCCGCCGATCGGGATGAACAACGTCGAAGGGATTTCGCATTGGTTTACACAGTTGGGGCGCTTTTCATTATCGTGTGCATCGGTTTCAGGGATATTTACTTCACTTGGGGAAACTTTAGCGTGAGTAAAGTTTCTTTTCCCCGTTAGAACGAGTGTTTACGTTTATGTTAATTGACGAGAAGGATGTTACGTAATGAAAATCAATGGTGAATAATAGGACAGCGTTTATATCTCTTGCAACAATTTGTACCTGATGATCGTCGTGCTCAAGGTCGGTGTGTTGTACGCTCACAAAATGCAGTTTTTCGAACTGGTCACATTCACTCAGAAGAATTTCTGGCGCCCGTATCGCGACCCAGAAGAGAAATTAATATTGGCCGAGTGCAAGAGGATATGCATCATTTTCGTCGTTGTTATTAGCTTCTGCGCTCAAGGCACTTGCACCGGTTACATGATCACTCCGATAATAGGTATTTTCAATGAAATTTTAACTTTCAAAAAAAAAAAAAAAAAGAATTATAACATTAGTCTTATTTTTCAAGCAAATATAGGAAAGAACGAATCTAACAGGGAATTGCCGTTCAACCTGTGGGTCGATTTCCCTGTAAGATTGTCGCCTTACTTTGAGATCCTTTTCGTTATACAGGTAAGAATTCATCCGTAATTTTTCTCCTTCTCCTTAATTCTTCGAATTATAAAATAATATTCGAATTTTGGAAAATATAGTAATTTTCTCTCTAATTTTATCGTATAATATCGTATAATATTCGAATTTTGGAAAATATAATAATTTAATTTTGTATAATAATTTAATATAATAATTATTTTAATTAATTTATTTAATATAATAATTTAATTTAATTTTCTATCTAATTTTATCGTATAATATCATTCTCAGATACTATGCGTGTACCACGTTGGCGTGTGTTACATCTGTTTCGATAATTTACTGTGCATCGTGAATCTTCACGTGGCCGGTCAATTTCGCATACTGCAATACCGACTGAGAAACTTGAACGTCACCGTAACAGGCGAGTCTTGTCGCGCAAACGTTTGCTACGCGAAGTTGAAGAGCTGTGTGATTCATCATCAAACGTTGACAAAATATTGCAAACAATTGGAAGATATATTCACGATAATCGTGCTCGGCCAAGTTCTGTTCCTCGCTCTTGTGATATGCCTCGTGGGATTTCAATTATTTCTGGTTGGTATGCAACTGGTGTATATCGATCATCGATTGGAACGCAAAATGGATATCTAACTTGAAATTCAAATTCAATGAATTAATTCGTTGAATTTATCGAATAATAAAAGGACAATTTCTTTTATTTATTTAATCAGAATTGTGTAACTGATATTTTTCTCAACGGAATTTTTATTCGGTTTGTAAATAAATAGTGTCCCAAAAATCAAATTTGAATTTTGCGCCATTTGTGCGAAAGAAAATGGAGCGTTTTTATTGTTGAGTTCAATATTTTAAAAATAACGAAAGTTTCTCGAAAAAAATAGTCTTCAACGATGATTGGGGTTCAGAAAATCCGCGAGTTGAGAAACAAATGCATCCACAACGTGTCACATGATAAGCCAATTTTTCGTGCCTATATCACAAGATATGGATGTGGATGGCACGCCACACCGAGAAACAATTCAATTACTGCACGAGTCATTTAATTTCTCATTTTTGATCAAAATTGATCGGCCATATCTAAAAGTGTGATTTAACGCCGTTATATTTTTTTTTTCGCAAAATAGTCGTGAAAAATTTCAACAAAATAGTAGTAACAAAGCTATTGCATACATAACTTTATGAATCAACGAAAAAATTTAGAATTTTTAATCATAAACCTGTATTTTCTATCAAAATTAAATTGAAATTCTTGAATTTTGGCAACACTGTTTATTTTCATTCAACAAAGATGTTACTATCGATATGACAAAATAAATCAATTTTATATCATTCGAACAGATGGATACACCTGCCTCGAGAAAAGTCAGTTTAACGTTAAATTTCGTCGGCACTCTCTGTCAACTTTTAATGTTCACGTACAGTTGCGACGATTTGATAAGGGAGAGCGTGAAAGTGGGCAACGCTATATTCTCGGGCCCCTGGGCGGGGTTGCCGATGGACAACGTTGGACGAGTTCTGCGAAAAAATCTGATAATTGTCGTGACGAGGTCGCACAGAGTTTGCTGTTTGACGGCCGGCAAATTTTTCCCCGTTTCCCTCGAAACCTCTACCGCGGTAATCACGATCATATTTCCAGATTTTTATTATTCAAAAATATTCTCAGACAATAACAATGTTGCATCCCTTGAGATTCGATGATTAATTTTTTTTGTTAATCAGGTACTCAGTACGGCAATGTCGTACTTCACGCTATTGAAACATTCGTCCCTAAAGATGGAAAACACCACGTAAATACCACGGAGTGTAATAATAAAAGGATTTCCAAAATAACGAAAAAAATTTCACGAAGGAACTTTAGAGATCTTTCCCTGGATTGAACGAGATTTGTGAACTTGAAAAATTAAAAATACGGTCAAAGAGAAATGAATGAAGGAAAGAAACAAATACAATTGAAATTCCATTTTCGTAGCCGACATATCAAGACTGATTTGCATATAATAATACTATACTAATACTTCTTTTCTACTCTAAATTTTCCCTTCTTCTTTTTTTTCCCTTCAATCGTCGATAAAAAATAATTATTATCCAAAATTATTATTATTATTATTATTAATATCTCATTTTGTACATTTGAAGAACAATAGTTGAAAAATTGAGAAAAGATGAGAAATAATTTTTAAATAAAAGGAAATCCTCCTCAAATTTCTCTCTCGTGTATGTGTGTGTGTGTACTTTTAAATTTTTAAAAAACTCACTCAAATTCTTGTACAAATTCCATTGTCGTCGTTTGTCCACAACAATCACGAGTCGAATTACGCGTGTACGTATTCTTCGAGCGATCCCAAGCGGCAAACTGAATTACTGAACCAACTGATACAATAGAGTTACACTCGTATAACCGCACACTTCCCCTAGAATCGTGCATAATTCATCGATCCTTCTCGCTTCTCCTCGCGTGCGAGAGTGGCAATCACAATGACGTATAGAACGGCCAATTGTCTGGGTAAGATGAGTGATTGATACGAAACGAAAGTTGTCAAGAGAGACAGTGTTATATAGCAGTGATAAACGTGACGTTTCGATCGATCGATCCTCGTCGACCACGAACAACCCCGTCATTGAAGATTCAGAATGACTTCGAAGAAGGTTGGTGGAGATCTCTCGATCACCGTCATGACTTTTTACATGAAGATCGTTGGATTTTGGATAGCGAGCAATTGTGTGGAGGAACGTCGAAGAAATTTGACTCTAAGTTACACGTTCTTCGCTGTCTTCTTTGCAGTGGCGACCGAGACCAGAGATCTGTACTTCACCTGGGGAAATTTTAGCGTGAGTCGAATTTTTAAATAATGCAATATTTTTTTTTTTTTTTTTTGATAATTTAGAATTCTTTTCTACTAGTAAAAAAATATCCAAAGGATGTCTATTTAAATTATTTGAATTAATATATAAGAACAAGTTGCTAGAATTTTCTTCTATAAATAAAAAATATCCAAAGGATGTCTATTTGAATTAATTAAATTAATATATAAGAACAAGTTGTTTAGAATTTTTTTATAAGTAAAAAATATCTAAAGGACATCTATTTGAATTAATTAAATTAATATATAAGAACAAGTTACTTAGAATTTTCTTTTATAAGTAAAAAATATCCAAAGGATGTTTATTTGAATTAATTGAATTAATATATAAGAACAAGTTGCTTAAAATTTTCTTTTATAAGTAAAAAATATCCAAAGAATGTTTATTTAAATTATTTGAATTAATCGAATACGTGTTATTGTCTGGTTACAGGATAGCATTCTGATCATATGTAATCTTGTAACGATAATTCTGGTTTTAGTCAAGATTTCCATCTCGTTAATGTACAAAAAGAAGTTGCTCAAGATGATACAATACGCAAAAACGAATTTTTGGAATTTAAAGTACGACTTGCACGAGCAAATAATTATAAATACGTGCAAACGTTACTCCACCTTCTTCGTTTGCACTTTCACATTATTCTCTCAGGGGACAGTCTTCTCTTTTGTAATAAGAGCACTTAAAGGTAAGACAATTTAATATTAATAATATAAAATAATAATAAATTTTAATTTCTGCTCTGATTATAATAAAAAAAGTAAAATAATTCTAACTTGTAAGTTATGAGTAATTTTATCAAATTGTTGCAGTTACATATGATACACAGTACAAAAATAAAGGGAAAAATATATATATATTAATTTATCTTTTAGAAAATGTAGGGAAAAATGAAACGGAGAGAATACATCCATTTAATTTGTGGCTCAGTGAATCATGGTACATGACACCTTATTTTGAAATAGTGTTTATTATAGAGGTATTAAGATATTATTTTATAATTTTTTCTCTAAATTTAATATAATCTTCTTTTATACACTAATATTATAAAAACGAAAAGAATATGACACAATTATAATATTATTCTAATAATTAAATCTAATAATTAAATTAATTATACAAAAATAATTTATTAATATATAATCCAATTAAAAAAGGAAATTCACATGAATATAATATTGAAAATATTAAATTTTATATATTTATCCAATTATTATATATATATTTTTTTTATCCAATAGATATTGTCTTTGTATCACGTTGGAGTATGCTACCTCTATTTCGACAATTTTATGTGTATTATAAATTTGCACATTGCCGGCCAGTTTCGCATATTGCAACATCGATTTTCAAACGTGTGCAATGAAATATGCGAAAAGTGTTACCAATTTTCGGAAAAATCACCCTATAGTATATATAAATACACTAAGCTCAAAACTTACATTCGACAACATCAAACGCTTATCGAATATTGCAAAAAACTGGAAATAGTATCGAATTTCATAATATTTGGACAAGTGTTGCTTTTCAGCTTGTTAATATGCCTCGACGGATATTTAATACTTATGGTCAGTATTATTTATATTTCATTCAAATTTATACATAATTTTCTTTGACACTTGATAGATATTTATATCGATTTTCCAATTTTACTTTCCTTATTTTTTTTCTTTTTTTTTTTTTGTAATTATATATAAAATACTCAAAAATGGAAATACATAATTTCAATCACATTTGCTTCTACTTTTTATTACTTTTTATTCTTAACCATGATATTCATAATATAATTTCTAATAGGAAGACACCTCTGTTATGAGTCGTCTAATTTTCACGTTTCATTTAATAACTTGCATGTGTCAACTACTAATGTTCACCTACAGTTGCGACTGTTTGATACGAGACAGTACGAACATAGCTAACGCTACGTACAACAGTTTATGGTCGTTCATGCCGATGGATAAATACGGGAAAATGTTGCGAAAAGACTTGATACTTGTTATCATGAGGTCGAAATCACCGTGCTATCTCACCGCTTTGGGATTCTTCCCTGTCTCGCTCGAGACGTACACCAGCGTAAGTTTCATTTCTAAAATTTTACACGAAAGTTAATATAAGATCAATTTGATGATAAATTGATTTGTCTTAGATTCTAAGTACAGCTATATCGTACTTCACGTTGCTGAGAAATCGTGCGGAGCAAACAACGATAGATGTGTAAATAAATCGAAAGATCGTTGTTATCCCTGAACGAAATAAAAGAAGTTTCTTTCTCATCTCAATACGTTGACAATGATATATTTTATAATATTAATTATAATGATTAAATATAAAAATGTTATGCAATAATATAAAGTGTTCCATTTTAATAAATTCAATTTCAAAATTCAAAGGAATAACGAAAAACACTCAAACATTCCTTTACACTTTTCGTTGATATTACACGAGAAAATAAATAAATAGAAAAATGGTTAACGATCATGTTGAAAACAATTTATATCTTGGAATTATTCAAATATTAATTAAACATATTATATACATTTACCTTGTTATACACACAGACTATCTACTAATTGGATCAAACTGCTCGAAATTTGCATTACGACATTTTCCACAGAGATCAGAGAATTACACATATATACACACACATATACCTCTCGAAGCGAGTTATTCGCGGAATGAAGCTGTATTTCAATTTTTGCCATCGACGAGCAGGAATAATCGATAAGAACAGTGACCGGCCACTATATTGGCAAACGAGGCGCGACAATCACGCCTCCCTTTTGAATCATGCATAACAAATCGATACGAAACGATTTTCGTATCCTCCTCCCCACAATCCTCCCCCCTGCCACGTATATACATTTCACCAACGTGTCCAATGACAACATCTAATGACGGAGTGTCCCGCAACATCAAAGTGATGTCACTTCAAATCACGCTTGCCCACAACTT